ATGGACTCATGGTACGGGGATTCAGGTGCTAGGAACATGCATAAAAGAGCCCAATTCAAAACAATAACGACATGCTGAATATCATTGCATATAAGCAACAGTTGAATAACTTAACTGGTGATTTGATGAAAAAGAAACTCGGGCTATTACAACATCCAAATAACTTTTTTTCTAAATAACTACTCACTTCTTTAAGATAACAAACAGGACGAACCGAAAACGAGCAACAATCTGAACACAACACTACTACTTTCATGCTTTTGAATGTGCTAGCATTGGTAAGACGACTAAATTTCTTTAAAATGAACACTTTTCGTTGGACAAATGCCGAGAAAACTGCGAAACAAGTCTCGCTAACAAAGGAAAAAATACAGTTTCAAAGATTTAGCCACTAAAAAGTGGCATAAAAGTCCCTTCCATCACAACATCATCCCAAATTGCCGGGTTCCAGACTCATGACATCGTGGTTGAAGAAAACCAGTGACCAATTCCAAGAATAAAAGTAAATGTATGTCTCCAAGCCTCCCAATCCAAATGCATCCAAGTGAAAAACATCATAGACTTTCCATATACCGCAATCATTCATTCTTTTGATTCCTCACCATTGCCACCACTGTAGCTCCGCCATCGTTCCCAACCCACAACGCCGCCGACCATGCCACCACTGGACGCCGCCCCGGTACATGCAACTCCTCCGAACATACACGTCACGTTTTATGTGTTCAATGAAATGCCCGAGTAATTTTTTTTATTCTTTAACTCCTTTGTAGGCAAACGATCGATTCGTTGTCGGATGATTAATATGAAAACAAGGACCTTAACAAATCCATATAGAGAGTTCATCAATTTGTCATATTCAGACGATAAAGATGTTGAAATGATGATAATGATGAGCATCGAGGAAGAATTTAGAGAAGCAAGAGAAGCATGTGTTGAACTTCAATGGTAGGAGAGTTGTTCCTCGGGATAGGATCACCGGTGCAAAGCTTCTCTACAAGGGTTACTTCAAACCGGACCCAACATACCATGAAAGGTTTTTTCGACGTTGCTTCCAAATGAGCAAAGATTTGCTCATGTTTGTAGTGGATGCCGTGGAGGAGGCTGGTGACTATTTCAAGTTGAGGAAGGATTGTTGTGGGAAACTTTCCTTCTCTCCTCTGTAGAAATGCACGGCTGCCCTCAGGATGCTTGCTTATGATAGGCCGCAAATGCCATTGATGCTAAAATCCGGGTGAGAGAGACCACATGCCTAAATACCATGGTGCAATCCCTAAAAGAATACCATGGTGCAATTTGCATGCAACTTGGTGAAGGTGTTTGGAGCGGATTATCTGAGAGAACCAACTGTTGAGGATGCAAAAAGGTTGATAGCAACAACTGGAGCGGCAAGATGTTTTCCAGGTATGCTTGATTCAGTTGATTGCATGCATTTTCAATGTGATAACTACCCCCAAAGGTTTGTGCGGCCAGTACCAAGGTCACACCAAAGATGCCACCATCATGCTTGAAGTGGCATCGAAGAACTTGTGGATTTGGCATGCTTTTTTGGCATGCCTGGTTCTAACAATGACATCAATCCGCTACAACGATCTCCTTTGTCAAGATACTTTATGATGGGGAGACTCCGCCGTGCAACAACACTGTCAACAGGCACAACTACACCATGGGGGACTACCTTGCCGGTGGTATCTATCCTCAATGGCGGCGTTTGTGAAGACCATATCCGAATCTCAATGGTAGGAAACAATTTTTCTTTGCATAAATTCAAAAATGTGCTATGAAGGATGTGGAGAGGGAATTCAGAGTGCTCCAAGCCCGCTGGGGTAATGTTCGTGGACCTGCAATGATGTGGGAACCGAAGACACTTTGGCAGCTCATGACACGTTGTGTAATCTTGCACGACATGATTGTGGAGGATGAGGACGAAGGAGCAGCCCGCACACATGATTTTGAGAAGCCCGGAGCTCGGGTCCGCTTCTCGGAACAAGTGGCAGAGCATGTTTTCAACTTTCTTGAGATGCATCAACAACTTGGAGATCAACAGATGCACATGCAAGTTCACAATGATCTTGTGGAGCATACGTGGATCCACGTTCAAAACCAATGAACAATGTATTTTATGTTTCAATTATGGATGGTAAACAAATTTTATGTTTGAACTATGTATTTTTATGTATGAATAATTTTTATTTGTGTGAGCTATTCATTTTTTATGTGTAATGATCGACGTGCATGTGTTTGCATGGATTTGAGATTTCAAAAGTGTTGGTTGTGGTTACAAATGAGGACAAAGTGGGGGCGGATTGGTGCTATTCTCAGACACACTAATGATCGACATGCATGACTTTGCATGGTTTTGAGGTTTCAGAAGTGGTGGTTGTGGTTACAAAGGAGGACAAAGTGGGGGCGGGCTGGTGCTGTGCGGACGCGCCCGGACGTATAGGGGCCTGGATTTGCCCGGTCCGATTGTAGATGCTCTCTGTAGGAGATGGCGAATAGCGGCATCCAAATCTTCATTGTCTTTCTCCCCGTACAAGTCTGCTTGCTCGTGATGATGGCAACACCACCAGCACACGCAGCTGACATGCTTACTAGATACAATCAAGTTTGCTGCCCTAGAAACATCTATTGTTGTGAGTTTGGTGTTGCAGTGGTCAATGGATCCGCAATCTCTCCTGAACTTTGATTTATAGTTTCATTCTCCTCCAAGTAATAAGCTAGGTCATATAAAACATGCTTCTGACATGGTTTTTGTCGTGGAATTATCATGGCAGATGTCCTAGTGTAAGGATTTAGTCGTGGAGCCATCGCAACCAGGTTAGCTTAAAGGGGTTAAAACGGGACAAAGGACACGGGGAGTTTATACTGGTTTGGCCCCTTGCGGTGAAGGTAAACGCCTAATCCAGTTTGAGGTGGTATTGCTTATGTCTCGATTACCAGGGAGCGAATGCACTTGACCATAACTGAATCTAACCATGCAAAAAACTAGCCTAAATTACCGATTCTCTGAATCTCTGAATCTCACAACCATGCAAAAAACTAGGCCGTACCTGCCGCCGCCAGCAGAACGAGGAAGCTTCCGCCGACCTTGAGCTCTGCTTCTTGTCGTCGACGGTGGTCGCGCCGGCGCCGACCAATCCAACCTCTGCTGCGCGCCGCCAGCGGAAGGATTAGATTCGGACTGAGAAGGCTGCTGTGCCGCGCTGCCGCCCGGAGGTATGCCTGAATCGCCGCCGGAGTTTGCATCCACAGCCGCCATGGCTGCCGACGGCTAGGGCTAGGAGCTCGGGGGAGAGTGAGAGAGCTGGTGGGGACGAGCGGCCCGGTCGGCCAGGTTATGACCTGGTCCCGACCAGGTGCGACCGACGAGCGGCTCTAACGGCCCCGCGCGCGCCGTTAGCCGTTAGGCGGGCCGCCAGCCTGGCACGTGGGCCACTCACGTCAGAATCGCGATTAAAACGGTCTAAACCACCATTCAGTCAACCTGGTAGTTTTTAGTCACGTTTTTACGTTTTTTGGTAGTTTTCGGTCACTTTTAAAAAAGTGGTAGTTCTGTGGGACGCGAACCCCTAAAGTGGTAGTTTTTTGTCAATCACTCACTCTTGTAAGTGCATTTTCTGTGGGGATTGGGCTGGCTGTGTGGATGATAGAAGGTCTATTGATGGGTTTGCCATATTCTATGGACCAAACCTATATAATATTATGGTGTGCAAAGAAAGATGCAACCACTTCCAGGTCAAGTACAGAAGCAGAATATAAAGCACTAGCAAATGCAATAGCAGGACTTACTTGGGTCTAGTGTATGCTGAAAGAATTTGAAGTTTCACAAATGCAACCACGGTGTCTTTGGTGTGATAATATTTGTGCTACTTATTTATATGCCAACCCAGTTTTCTATGGCAGGACAAAATATATTGAGATAGATTTTCACTTTGTCAGAGGACGAGTTTTAAACAAACAACTAGAGGTCAGATTTGTACCTCAAGTGCAGGGTAATTTGAGAGATTGTTTTCTTTTAATCTTGTTTAGCCTTATCTCTCTATCTCTCCCATATGTATATCGATCTCCCTCTATAATCTCTCAGATGGTTTGTCGTTCAACCGAACAACTTCTATAAACGACCACAAGATCCCTCTCGTCACATCAATACAATATATATCGCGGGCTCACATGTTATGGAAATTGAGATGCTTTACCAAAACCTAACACAAACCCGGCGCGTTGTCAAATACGACGGCGTTCCTTTGCATCCAAGTTTCCCACACCACGAGGATGATCATGGAGTTTTAGTACTTCCTGGAATGAGCTGTTGGTGATAGCGATGTGGACCATTCCAGCACACCATCCGTAGCTGTAGGTGCCCAATCCTCCTTGCCCCAAGCTGACTCGTGCCAAATCTGTTTGGCAAAGGAGTTCAGCTATGCTGTGTAGCAATTCTTGGCTACGTAGCTGATCAATTCTGGGGTATACATATAGAGAATTTGGCTGAGAGGAGAGACAGGAATCTGTGCGTCCGAAAACTCTAAAAAAAATCTTGTTTTCTGTCTAGTAAGTGGTATGCATGATTATCATAGCACTTGGAAAACCTGATAGCAACAGATTTAATCAAGCTGCAGGGATAACAAAGGTAGCAAAAGTTGAGTCATACGTCTACCAAGGCTTTCATGTACCAACTACCAAAGGATCCACCAAGCAAGCACGCATATAGATCAGATCGACTCAGCGTTAATTCCGGGCCATCATACAGCAATAACGACATGAATCACCAACATGCATCGATCTAGTATAATACTATCCATTGACAACGATTACATCATGTGAAAGAGATCTGACATGACTGTATACTTATATGGTAACTAAGTAGCACTAGGAGCTACATATGAGAGACGTCCTAAACCCCTAAACGGTAGCTGATATCTTTCGCTGATAACTACCTAAATAAAACCAACTCGATATATAATCCCGACGAAAGCATCGGCGATCTGTGCATCCTTTTTCTCCTATGGTGATGGCGCGGGAGAAGCAGCGGGAGGCGACGGAGTCGTGGCAGGAGGCGTCAGCGGCGGCAAGGGTTGGGCTGTCAAATCATCACCAATGTAAGTTAATTAATGTCCTTCCAAAGCAAGCAGCACATATAAAAGGAAACACAATGAACACGGTTAGTAACTTACTGGCGCAGGAGAAGATCGTCTGCAGGGGAATCATGGCGCCACACCTAGCAGGGAGGATGATCATGCGGATGGGGTCGATAGGCTTGGGGAAGAGCTTGCTCATGCCGCCGTTGTTGTTAAGGCCGTGGCAGAGGCAGATCGGCGCGGTGCTGACGACCGACTTGAGGCCATCGCAGCAAGCGCTCGGGGGCGAGAACACCGTGACGTTGGTGAGATAGTGCATGCACGGTATCATGGCCGTCAGCGGTGTCAGGCACTCCTTCGGTGGCGGTGGGCTTGGCGACCCGGTGGGAAGTGGCAAGTGTGGGAGGCTAGGCGGTGCATGGGAATGGGATGGAGGGGCGCCCGGTGCACCACCAGGGAGAGGCCCGAACAGCGGCGGCAAGCCGGGGATCTGAGGAAGTGGTGGGAAAAGGGAGCGGAATATCGGTGGTAAGCTTGGAATACCGGGAATCTGAGGCAACGGCAGGCCAGGAAGAGACGGGGGGGCCCCATCGGCTGTGGTGGTGGCTGTGGCTTCTTCTTGGTTTGCGGCGGCTGGCTGGACCCTCGCCTCGGACGGCTGCAGCATTGCTGCAATGGCCAGGAGGACAAAGAACCCAGCGACGGTATACTTGGAGCGCGCCATCGTTTGCGTTAGAGAAGGGACAGATTGAAGAGGAGAATGCGTGGGTGGTATAATCGTGGAGAGGATACCCAGCTATATATATAGCTCCGGCTGGTTGGTAGGGTGCGTTCGGGATAGAAAAGTTTGAATGTTTGGGCAAACCATTTCAATCCTTTATACTATCTAAGAAAGATTGAGGTTGTTTCGGTTGTGATTGATACGTCTAGAAACGGATGCAGCTGGCGTCCGCATGGATGGAGTAGAGTCCATGCACATCGTCTGTATGCAGATTGCAGATAGAGCTGGACGTTCAAACAAGACCTTTTGCATGATTGTATTGGTCTCGCCTACCTATTAGATTTTTTTTAAACTATGCCGTATTTTATAGCAAATTCGAAAACTATAGCAAAGAGTGAAGAAAAATCAAAACTAGCACCCCATCGGCCACGCGTGGGCCAAAAAGGTTGTTTTCGGCCTCCCTTTAGCCGAAATGGACTTTTCGGCCTTGCCTTGGCCGAAAAAGTGCGTACCTGGGCCGAAAAGACCTTTTTGGTCAGGAGTAGGCCGAAAAGTCCTTTTTGGTCAGGAGTAGGCCGAAAAGTCCCTTGGGCCCACCTTTTCACGTTAATGGTTGACCGAAGTTGCATGGCTCCACTCTTCGGCTTACGTTAGGCCGAAACGATTTTTTTATTTTGGTATATAAATACTGTGCAACCATTGTCCATCTTAGACACTGAAAATATATATTTTCGCGCAACCCTTTCCCCTCAATATTTTCCCGTCAACTCTTTTCCGCCATCCGTTTCCCGCCAACCCCTTCCCGCCACATGTTCCTGCCATCCGTTTCCCGCCAACCCCTTTCCGCCATATGTTCCCGCCAATCCTTTCCCGTCATACCATAGTATACCATTAAATAAATTCTTCATATTAAAAAAATAGGATAAAAGCGCAAGCGATGGAGTCAAAAACCTGACCTCACGCTGGGTATATGTGTTACCAGCCAAATAGGATAACATCTGGCTAATGTACAACAACTGATCCCTTTCTTTATAAAAATTCAACATTTTCGAAAAAAGTGAACAATTTTACTTTAGCAATTTAAAAAATTATTTAAAATAAAAATTTCTGAAATAGGAACAAACTTTTAAAACGTGAAAATTTATTGAACACATGAACAAAATTTTAGAATTCCAAACATTTATTGATTTTTTAAGTGATGAACAATTTATAAATATACATTGAGCATTTTTATAGTATAATCTGAAAATTTTCTAAAGACACATTGAATATTTTTGTGATATACGGTTAATGTTTTTCTGAATTGTGAAGACATTTAAAAAAAGTGAAAAGATTTTGAGAAACATGATTGTTTTAAATATGAAGAATTTATTTAATGGTATACTGTGGTATGGCGGGAGCATATGGCGAGAAGGGGTTGGCGGAAAACAGGTGGCAAGAACATATGACGGGAAGGAGTTGGCGGGAAACGGGTGGCGGGAAAGAGTTGGCGGAAAAATATTGAGGGGAAAGGGTTGCGCGAAAATATATTTTTTCAATGTCTAAGATGGGCAATGGTTGCATTGTATTTATATACCAAACTTTTTTTTAAAATCGCTTCGGCCTAACGTAAGTCGAAGAGTGGAGCCATGCTACTTCGGTCAACCATTAACATTAAAAGGTGGGCCCAAGGGACTTTTCGGCCTACTCCTGACCAAAAAGGACTTTTCGGTCTACTCCTGACCAAACAGGTCTTTTCGGCCCAGGTACACACCTTTTCGGCCAAGGCAAGGCCGAAAAGTCCATTTCGGCCAAAGGGAGACCGAAAACACCCATTTCGGCCCACGCGTGGCCGACGGGGTGCTAATTTTGATTTTTCTCCACTATTTGCTATAGTTTTTGAATTTGCTATAAAATGCGTCATAGTTTTGAAAAAAAATCTACCTATTACCGTTGCGTGGATATGATTTTTTCTCATTTTTCAATTAGTAATCTTTTTATGTTAATTTTCTACTAGTAATTGATCTTATTTCGTTTGTTACTCTATAATTTGAATGTCACGTGATATTGTTTGTTAAAACACAGATGACACAAAAACCGCACGACAAGGATCGGAGTTGATATGGAAATTTTGAGCACTACATAATAGCAACTATAGCCGATCCTCTAAAAAATATAGAGGAGTAAATGACGGACTAAAGTTATTCGAGTAAATTATTACTCCTCTGTAGATGGCTGCACTTAGCTGATCTTCTAAACTTAGTGGAGTAAAAACAGTTTGGGACACCTAGGTGCCCAAGCACCTTGCATACAAACCGTTGGATTACATTGAGATGTGTGCATGTGTAATTAGTATTAGCAGTATTGGATCAACCATGTTAGCTCTTTATTAGGAAAGAATTATTGCAAATTATTGCTTCATATGGACACTTAATGCCCAGATTAAATAATATAGGGGAAAAATAGCAATTAATGGTCCGGCCATGCATGCTCCATGGTACGTCCCCAACTTTATTTCTTATACATGCACTTCTTTTTTTTTTTACATAAAAATAGGAAGTCATATACATAATTAGATACGTATGTATATGATCGTCTTGGGAACAGAAGATATAGTTATCTTTTGTCTCCATGGGAAAATACACATGTATGTCTTCAAGCTTTTTCCAAAATGGATATTTTTTTGGTATGTGCATACCCATCATATTTTTTTGCATACCCCCTAGATGTGAGATTTGTACCCAGGTATTCAGATACCTATGGATGCCATAATTCATGTAGTCGGGTATATATGTAGGCATATTTTACTATATATACGTTGACATGATACCTAACAGTTTCTACACTTTTTCATATAGCCAGGTATACGTGTGCAGACATATTGGGTATACTGTTTTATTTATGTTCGTTGGGTATATACTAGAAGATTTATGTGACCATGTCGTATAAACTATGTGGGTATACTAGGAGTTTTTTTTTACTACGAAGGTACAGTAGAAGTTCATTGGGTATATTTTACATAGCAAGGTATATATGTAGCCATATTTTACGTGACCTGATTATACTTACCGTGTATGTACATCGTCAGTAGGTACCGGATACAAGTATTAGATAGTTAGGAAATACACTATTGGGTATATACATATCACGTATGTAAATAATTTCATTAGTAGGTATTCGATGCCCATAATAGATAGTTAGGAACCAAAAATGATATGTAAGAGTTCAAAAAATATTGAGTATATACGAGTTGGTATGTATTAGATATTTAGGAAACAAAAATACGCGCATTAGATAACCATGGCAGTTCAAATAAAAAAAACATTAATACGATTTATTATATGGCAAGTCTTGCATGCCTAATAATTAGGAAACAAAAATAAATCATAAGTATGGAAAGTTTTGCATGAAGAATGAATAGAAAACTAATTAAATATATCACGGTTTCCAAAACAATCAAGGTGCCCAGGCACCTAGGTGCCCCATCTATTATATATATATATATATATATATATATATATATATATATATATATATATATATATATATATATATATATGGAAAATCCATCCTACCACCCGGTGGTAGTTACGCCACATATCTCATATACTACCATGTGGTACTATATATACTATTTTATTATTTTAAATATGTTCATATAATATATCTAAGATATTGCAAAGCAAGTTACATGAAAAAATTGCATATGAGCCCATAGTTTTTGTTATATTTGTGAAATATATACATATTTGTACGTGAAAAAGA